ATAGAGTCTCATATATATATATATATATATATATATATATATATAGCAAAGACCTATTTTAGCACTTTATATAATTAATTTATAATTAAAAATATGAAAAAGCAATGTAAATAGATTGGGGGTATGATAGAGAAAAGGAAAGGTGACCGGCAAATTCCGGTCAGATCTATGATTTGCCAGCTGGCATCCAAGTCAGCGTCGGGTGTGGATTTGTAGCCACTAGATTTCGTGGCTATGGATCATCAAAAAGATACGAAAAGCAGAAAAAGATAAAAAAAAATAAAAAAGTTAAAAACAGTGGGCGGCTTTTATGCTTTTTGTTGAATTTACGAAATTGCCATTACTGATTAGAGCCGTCCGTAGCTAAAGCCGGCGAGTTACTGGCAGTCCACGTGGCAACGCTGGATGATATCGCATGGGAAAGTTTTTTGGATAGGGTTGGACATTAGCGGCGGCTTTTATGCGGGAAAGTGCGCAGGTGGCTTTGATGACGTGTCTTGGTTCGGTTGGGTTAGGCCATGTGGAGCGGGCTCTTGTTTAGTGGGCCGACGTTGTGGGCCCGGCGATGGAATCGTGGAATGGACGCTTACCTAAACTTTGACGAAATCTCGAATTCTTTGTTTAAGTATCAAATAAATAAATAATAATTAATGTAAAATACCAACTAAAGGGCAATTATTTATGAATTTATATTAATTTTTTAAGATAATTGTTAGAATATTAATTTATCTGTGAATCATACTCAATAATGAATAGAAAAAATAATATAATATAGTGATATTATATTTATATTTTTTTCATGATATTTTAGGTAATTTACATGTATAAGTCTATATCGACGGTCGTGCTAGTATGACTTTGATTTGGTGAGATCAATCTGGTCGACTGAGTTTAGCCAGTTTTGTTGGTTGGCAAAGCTTAATAAGATTCGAGGCGGTGTGATTGATTTGATAGGCCAGGCTTTGTTGACTATGATAAACAGTTGTCCTCTATAGAAAGAGACATGTTATTGGATTCGGGATGAATTACCATTACTCAATATGTAACTTATTCTTTAATAAGTGGAGTCTGTAGGATGATTATAATGCTCAATTGTATTTCCAATTCTTAGTCCCTCCTAAGGAGCCTCGTGATCATCCGTGGGATAGCTACTGATAGCTAGCAATCAGATTGTTTCTCGGGTCGAATCTAACGAAAAGTAGGTCGATGACTTTGGTCAGCTTTCTTATAGTGATATGCTTTAATGCTTTTCTGTCTTGTCTTAGTTTGATTGGTTTGGATTTGGATTGTTCAATTTTGTCCTTCTCTTGCCTAGATTGGCCTTTAGCTTTTGCTCCGACGCTTACATTCGATCGAACAAGCAGGTCATATGGTATTCTGTCATTTGGTATTCTGTCATTTGGCACTCATTATGATAATTTTATCTTCTTGATAGTTGAATCTCCCCATAATGTGCACTAACACATTTTTTATTCACAATAATATTAAAATATTATTCTTACTAATTTCTTAAAATTAAATTACATCTTTTCATGCATAAATTTAAAACATGGATTGTTATAAATATAAAATCAAACTTCATATATTAGATTTATAAATACATAATTATTATGTGATATGTATGTAAATTTTCCTAAAATAAATTACAAGTGAACAACTAACTAAAAAAAAAAGAAGATAAGGAAATGAATTGTTGATTAAAAACCAAACATAAAATAAGTGTAATGATTTTCTTTTCCAAGCATTTTTGTAAATTGAAATAAATGGAATGAAAATAAAATTTTGCATTATTGATAATATTTTGACTAACTATTTTAGAGTGCATTCAACCTTTATCTCATATTCTCACTTAGGTCTATGAGATCCTCAATTTTGCATGTCTACCCATCTATTGGTCCTCCTTAGTCCCTCTGGCTTTATAGAGCTAATAGTTTCTCAAGAAGGTTGAAAAATTGATGTAGCAACTAAGGCCACTTCTAGAGAGCCAAAATAGCCTCAGACCATTTGTATTCGATCTTTTTAATTCCAAAATTTATAGAACTGTCAAAATAGTTTCCAGAGTTTTTTAAATTGGGACTGAAATAGTCTGCATTGAGGACTATTAGAGCTTAAAATAGTATCGTACTATTTTGACATTTCTATAAATTCTGGGATTAAAATGGCCTCATATAAATAGTTGAGGAAAAATTTTAAAAATTTACCATATATCTTAAATTCTTCTATAAAAAACAAAATTGTGAACCAAGCCGAAACCATCTAAAAAGAGGTTTACATGTAGGGGTGTAAAAGAGCCGAACACGAGTGAGCCCAAGCCCAGCTCGTGTTCGGCTCGTTTATATTTCAAGCTCAAAAAGTGTGTTCGTGTTCCGCTCGTTTGCTTAGCGAGCCGAACACGAGTGGTTCACGAACAAAAAGTCCTTTTGACAACCCTAATCACGTAGTCATGAGATGTTAATGGTTGGGGCAAGATTTAAAAACTATTATTTATATTAAAATATCATTTAAATCTAATTTAATAATTTTTATTATATTTTCTTAATTAAAACTTTTATTT